CCAATAGGAACTTGTGCGTCCAGGCTCAAGCTAATCCCCAGACGCTGCTTCCGCGCTTGCTAACGTCACACGCTGGCTTAATTAAATCACATGGATTAGCTTGAGCCGAGCCCGCGAACGCGTGCTCGAAGATTCATTCAAGCTCGCGCTCGGCTTGCCGCCTAACCCCTTGCCAAGATGCTGTCTGTGTGTCGTGCGCCTGGCTTGTGCCTCAGCTAGGCATAGCCTGCACCCAAGCCTCTTTCTGCTCGCCCCTCGACAGCGCAATCAATTTGATATCAAACAGGCGGCGCCGCAGCCTGTTGAACTGTGCGCCCTAAGGAAAAAACTGAGCTATGATCGTTTTTTAAGGGATGCTGCGGCTGTCAGCGCCAGTTCAGCGGGATCAGAGAGCTTGTTTACACATATGCAAGAGGCAAGAGCGACTGCCACGCCCAGATAGTTTTAAATTACAGATCTATCTTTTTCTTGGAGGGGCATATTTCCTGAAAATGCTTGTGCCAGATCTCAGCTTTGCTCAGCTTAGCTGAAGTCCTTGTACTTTCCTGCAACTCTTTAGAACACATGCGGACCACAAATTCAAGTCCTGGCTTTAAGCCGCGCATCATTAGTGCTCAAAGCGAAAGGGTAGCTGGTTTTTCGGCGCATTAAAAAGCGGATTTGAATAAATGCCAAGTTCCGCAACTCTAAAATAATAATAAAACTCAAGATTGCATGGCTAAGCCCTTCCTAGTCTTCATTCAGCGACGAAGACGCGTGCTCAGCCCGATCCAGCGCTAAGCTCCAGGATTAGGGCAGTCCCTAATCAGCCTGCTTTGCATGGCAGTTCATTAAGCGCCGTCGCTGCTCTCTTTCTCTCTCGCTCTCTCTATCTCTCTCGCGCTTTGCTTGCCTGGCCACATAGCTCATCAATAGCAATTCGATTTGTCATGTTTATTGTCATCATGAACATTATCAGCACATTATCGATTGCTCGATTGACTATAAATCAGCAAACCCTCTCGGCTTGATCGAGTGTTACAAATAGCTAAAAAATTTGTGGGCAACACACACACACACACGCACACAGATCGCATAGCACTCAGGGCGCGCACCCTGGTCTACCCCTAACCCTATGCCTAACCCTAGCCCGTGGCTTTCACTTTCGCTCTTCCCCTGACGCTCGCCTCGAGCGAAATATTTGTAAAAAATTTGTCGTTTTTTTTTGGGTTGAAAAATTGCTGAATTTTTTGTTTGGTTTCTGGCTTTATGTGCATTGTTTGTTAGCGGTAGGGTTATGGTTACATCAGCAAATGCTGGCAACAGCTGTAATACGAGACTGGACACATGCCATGGCTATAGAAAACTTGTAGTTGGGTGCATAAAACTAGTGCAGCTGCAGGCAAAGAGTTGTCAATATGCTGGTTGAAAGTTTTTAGACATGTATTTGATTGATCAAAATATATGTAGACTCTTGCTATAGGCATTTCAAGAAATGGACGTACGCATAGAAGGAGCCGATTAAATGCTCAATCATAATTTGGAACTCATAAAGTCTACATTTGTATGCTTAAGATCAATCAAAGTGCTTTAGTTTTGATTGATACTGTTTTCTTATATTTTTCAACGGCTTTCATTTGGTTTATTTACATTTCTAGGCATTGCATTAAGCTCTAATATTAGATTTGGAAAATCTTAAAAAGCTGATCAGAATGTTGTATATATATATATGAATGAATTTACATTTAATCAATCAATGTGCTTTTATTTTGATTGATACTGTTCTCTAATACTTTTTAACTTCTTCCATTTTTGCTATTCACATTTCTAGGTTACATAAAGTTTGAACATTATAAAATCTTAAAAGCTGATCAAAATGTTGGTTGAATATATATATGAATGAATTTACATTCAATCATTCAATCAATCAATGTGCTGTAACATTTATTGAAAATACATTTTTATACAATTTATTTTACTTATACATACGTATATATATATATATTTTTTTTTTTTTCAAAATAGTCTAGAAAAATCTTGTGCTCAATCAATGAGCAAATAGACATTTCTTCGAACTGAATATTAATTTGAGTTATCAACAATTCAAAGTACAAGTGCGTAGGCTGGCTTATTAATAGTATTCAATGTCGTGTGCTACGCACTAATTACAGCAATTAAAGTTGACTAAGGTTAGTACCAAAATTTTGATAGCACTACGCACTATTTAACGTGCCAGTGCCCCACATTTGATAGACTATGGATGTTATGTAGCACGTGCGTGTAGACCATCTCTCACTCTCTCGCCATGAACTGTTGCTCTTAACTTTCTCTTGACAACCGGCGAGCGCTGATAATGGGTTGCCAAGCCTGACTTTGTCTTATCAGCAAAGACCGGATCTTAATGAAGAGACAGCGCTAAGTAGCTGAGCCAACAGCTGTTATCAACACACGATTATACTGACTAATCCAAAATAGTTTTGACTAGTCCAAAATATCAGCAGAAAGGGTATCCAAATATCTTTATCAAGAGCCAAGTCAGCGTTTTCGCCAAAGCCTCGCTGCTTGTGTTTTTAATGTTTTCTGCGTATTTTGGTTTCCCGGCAAAAATCATATCTTTTCGACTAATCCGTCGGGAATTGTTTTAGTTTTGCAGTTTTACGTAACATTATGCAGAGCAAATGTCTCGAACAGACAGTCCTATGTGGACAATGTGGATGGACAATGGTCCGTTTTTGCCATTGTAGTTTTCACTTTCGAAAATTACAAAATTTCCACGGTAGTTCTATGTTGACCGAAATTAACATCCCGTCGCGTTACGGTCGTGTCCTTGGCCTACCTAACGGCATATCCTCATCTAACTTTATGTATTTATGCATGTTTTCAGCTGAACTTGCGCATGTCCTGGCCATAAAAATCTACATAAAACCATTTAAAAGTCAATCCGCAAAAGTCAGCAGCGCGACGACCAAAAAAGAAAATCGTTGAAACTGTTTTTTAGCAAGGGTTTTTGTGCAAGTTTTTTGCTTGTTTGACATATTTTTCTTGTTCTGTTACCTGTTTTTTTTTAGTTTTTTGTTTTAGCTGTTGCTCTTTTTTTATGATTTGGTTTTTTAGACGTGTGCCGGCAATTAGTTGGCCATTAAGCGTGGCTCATTCAGGAACTTGAGTCAACTCAACAGGCTGCTTAAAAAACTCACTCACTTGCTTGCGCCCCTTCGCTTAACTTTCACTTGGGCTTCGCCCCTTTTGGAGTGGCGTTCGTTTCGTTTTGTTTACTTCCTGTTTACTCTTACGGCGCACGCTCCCAGCCAACCCCGATCCGACCGGTGCCTGGCCCTAACCCCACACCCCGCCTTTACTGCTGGTGACTTTTGGCGTTCGCTCTCGCTCGCTCGCTCGCTCGCTCACTCGCGCGCTCAGGCGCGCTCTTTATCATCCCCCTTTGCGCACTTTGAGCACTTTTTTTTTGGTTTTGCTTTATGTTCAAAGGGGAAGTCTCTGACATGAGTTAATTGCTGCAGTTTGAGTGCTTTTTTCGTATACCCTAGCCCAACTGTTTTAAACTTTGACTAAAAGTGGTCGAACAAGTGTTTATTTTTTGTTTTTGTAATTGCCTTTTTTTATGAAGTCTCTAAAAAACGGAAGTGCGAGCTAGTTTTTTTAGGGATCACATAGGTAGCAAAGTTTTTTGTGCTGCTTGTAAAAAACGCCGTGGTCATAAAGCCATAAAAGAATTAACGCCCGCCGTCGCATAAGATTTTTGTTGCTTTTTAAGGCATTTGGTTAAAAGTCAACTTTTGTCGGTTTTAAAAAGAAATTAGTTTCGTTCTAGAGTTGAGATTTGCACGGAATAGCAGCTGTAGCCCACTCATTCTCACTCGCCCTGTCTTTCTCTCTCTCTCTCTCTCCTTTTCTCTCTCCCTTTCACATTAATTTGCATATATGCAGCATCAGAAATTGTTTAGGTAAAACAACAACAAAGAGCGCAAAGCAAAAATAAAAAAATAAAGAGCTGAGGTATTTTTGAGCTGTGCTCAGTTTTTTTTTTTTACAATCTCACACACACAAACATACACTCGCATGCTCGTAAAGGAGAGCACGTTACCTGCTTTGATCGGCAGCGCGTTTCGGGTTTCGTTGTTCGTTTCGTTCTGTGTCGTGCTTCCTCCCTTTGGCTGGCTATCAATGTGCGTGAGCGAGCGAGTGAGTTGCTGCTGAGTGAGTGAACGATTGAGTGCGTGCGTGTACGCCAGAGTGTGTGTGCGTGTGCGTGTGTGTGCCGTGCAGAGAGGGTGAGCGTGCGAGCGTACTTATAGTTAGCGCACGCGGCGAATTCGTATCATTCGTGATTTGGCTCTGACAGTGAGAGGAGCACAGTTTTTGATGCCAAACAAACACACACGCTCGCACACAGACACTCACATACACACGCACACCCGCTCGTACACACTCACGAAGCAAATTTGTTGCTTCTAAAGGATTTCCACAGCGCAAAGGATACTCTCTACTCAACTCAATATAAAAACGTGTTGCAGTCAGTCGCTTCATATCATTTCTCAGCGACAACTCGTCACAGTCACAACTCAAAAACTTAGTTAAAAAAATATATATAAAAAGAAAATTTGTTGTGTCTTAACGATAAAAAAGAAACGCGAGAACCAACAACAAACCAAATACCTCAACAAAATAGAAAAAAAAATCAAAGTTAATAATTTACATAAGAATAACAAATTATAATTGCAACTACCTCATTTTGTATACCGTGAACTTTTGTAAACTGTGCAAAAACTACCTCAAAGTACAAAACACACATACACACACACACACACAATCCCAACCAAAAAGTGCGCGAAACTATATACAGTTTAAAAGTTTATAAATAAAACGCAGCTCAAATGAAAATTTGTGTTCAGAATTGAAGAAAAAACATTTGAAGTGAAATTGTAAGCAAATCGCTTGCAATTTAATTTGCAAGGACATCAAACACACAACACACACACACACACATAACAAACACAGTTATGGCCATATCAATGCTGCAGGACGCGCAGACACGAAGTAAGTAAAATATTTCAACAAAATGTGCAAAATAATAAGAGTATAGAAACAGTTTAGGCAGCTCTCAAAAGGAATATTAAAAAAAAAAACCGAAAAATATGGTATAGGGAATATTATTAGACACAATTCCTTAAAACAAAAAGTCTTGCTGATTTCTAAGGTTTCTTAGAATGTCTTGTTTAGCAAAACTTTATGCTTACTTAGAAATATTATTTGTAGGAGCAGAAGCATATTTTATGCAATCTCAAAAAGTATGACAAATTTAAAAAAGTTTTAATTAAACATTTCTTACAATTATTTTCAAAACAAGACTCGTCCCAGAAATTTGTCAGCATGCTTTTAAACATTTTAGAATAATCAATTTGATCAAGTTTTCCTAAACCAAGATTGGCAAAGTCTGAAAGAATTTTAAACAAAAGTTGCTTAAAATTTGTCTTAAGATAAGACTAAATGATTACATTTTGCTAACTGCAAGCTTACATTTGGAAAGCACTCGTTGTGTTGTTAGTGCTGAATGTTTCCTGAAATTTCTTCATAACATATTAAAGCTCGCATTAAAGCACAACTGCTCACATGCACACACACACATGCTTAAGCACGCACAGCAATAACGACGTCTCAATGTGCTTGAGTTAACATTAGGCGCCATTTTGCCAAATGCTCAACACACACACACACGCACGCACACACATGCGATTAAGTTTTGTTTACAAGTTTGTTTTTTCGCCGGCATTTAACTCGTTTCACGCCCACCAAAACAAACGCCAGAAAGAGTGCGAGAGAGAGAGAGAGAGAGAGAGAGAGAGCGCGCTTGAAAGAGAGTGTCTGCCACACACACACAGACAAAAGCTCACACATGTGTTACACATGTGACGCTCTTAAGCGCGCGCGCTCTTCCGCTCTTTTGTAAAGGTTCAAACCCCCGCTTACCGCTCCTTCAGCTATGCCAATCACACGTGCTGCTTTGAACCTTGAACAAAAAGTTAAAAAGTTGTGTGTGCTTCTCGTGCTTGCCCCCGCCGCGGGCAGCTGACCAAACTGCTGCTGACAGCTCAGCGGGTGAGGTTGAGAGGTTGGAGAAAATAATAGAAAATAGAAAATTAGGAAATTTTGCTTTTTTTGATTATGCGCCTTGCTAACCAGCCACACTTTTTGTTGCTTGCTCTTTCCTTAGGCCTGGCCGCTGCCTTGGCTGGAATCAAGCGCGAGGACATGGTTGTGGATCGCTCCATGTCGCTGTCGCCGCCCATGTCCGCCAATACCTCGGCCAGCAGTCCGGTGGCCTCAAACAATAGCCTCAACACGCACTCGCTGTACCCGTCGATGGGTCTGCAACAGGCTGCGGCCGCTTCCGCCTTTGGCATGCTGTCGCCTACACAGCTGATGGCTGCCAATCGGCAAGCGGCTGCTTTTATGGCCCAGCTGCCCATGAGCACGCTGGCCAACACGCTATTTCCACACAATCCAGCGGCGCTGTTTGGCGCCTGGGCGGCACAGCATCAGCAGCAGCAACAGCATCAGCAGCAGCAGCATCAGCAGCAGCAGCTGCCCTTGGCCGGCACCCATTTGCACTCACCGCCCGCCAGCCCGCACTCACCGCTGGCCAACAGCGGCAAGCATCCGCTCAGCTCGCCGAACAGCACGCCGCAACAGCATCATCTGGGTCTGGGTCTGGGTGAGCCCGTCAAGAAGGCGCGCAAATTGTCAGTCAAAAAGGAATTTCAAACGGAGATTAGCATGAGCGTCAGCGATTTGTATCACACGCCTGGCGGGCCCATTTCACCGCCCAGCAGCGGCAGCTCGCCCAACTCGTCGGCCCATGAGGGCACCTCAGGTGTGACAGCAGCAGCTACTGCTGCCGCCACTGCAGCTCCCGCCAAGGATCCGTCGCGCGACAAGAGCTTCACGTGCAAGATCTGCTCGCGCAGCTTTGGCTACAAGCATGTCCTCCAAAACCATGAGCGCACCCACACCGGCGAGAAGCCGTTCGAGTGCCCCGAGTGCCACAAGCGCTTCACCCGTGACCATCATCTGAAGACGCACATGCGCCTGCATACGGGTGAGAAGCCCTATCACTGCTCCCACTGCGATCGCCAGTTTGTGCAGGTGGCCAATCTGCGGCGTCATCTGCGCGTCCATACCGGTGAGCGGCCCTACACCTGCGAGATTTGCGAGGGTAAGTTCAGCGATTCGAATCAGCTGAAGTCCCATATGCTGGTGCACAATGGCGAGAAGCCGTTCGAGTGCGAGCGCTGTCACATGAAGTTCCGTCGGCGCCATCATCTGATGAATCACAAATGTGGCATTCAGTCGCCGCCGACGCCCGCTCTCTCGCCGGCCATGAGCGGCGATTATCCCATGGCTGCAGCGGCTGTGGCAGCGGCTGCCGCTTTGGAATGCTCCACCAACAAATTTGCGGCCATGTGCGCCAGCTATGGTGGCTCCGAGGAGTCTGTGGATCTGGCCAAGAGCAGCCTGGATGAGGAGGCACCGCTCGATCTGTCCGAGGATGGCGCCAGCTCTGTGGATGGCCATTGCAGCGGCAGCAATGCGCGCCGCAAGGCGCAGGACATACGCCGCGTATTCCGGCTGCCACCGCCACAGATCGTGCACGTGGCCAGCGATATGCCCGAACAGACCGAGCCCGAGGATCTGAGCATGCACTCGCCGCGCTCCGCCGAATCGCACGAACAGCACGAGGACATCGATCTCGATGAGCTGGACGATGCAGCTGCTCTCTATCTGCGACAGCAGCAGCTCCAGCACCATTAAAGGAGCAAACTCGCTCCCTATGGGAAATGGAAGAATTTGTATATATGGTTCAGAGTGCCGGCGATCATCAGATGAGGCTGGCTAAGAGTTTACGGTACAGGAATTTATGTCAAGTACAAGTAGCTTGCAAAACAAAACAAACAAAAACAAAAAGGAAAAACAACCAAACTATGAAAAATTAATATAATTTTTAGTCATTTAGCAAATAACAAACGCAGATTGCACATAAATCAAAAAGCTCCAAAAAATTGTACAAAAAACACGTTAAGCTAAGACAAATGTTAGGCGATAAGAAAACTCTCACCCAAAAACAAAACGTAACCCAGCTAATGTTGTGCCATTCTCAAAGCCTAGTTTTAGTTATATTTAGTTTAAATATTATCCTCGGTTGTTGTCCAGTAATTGTATATAGCCAGCGTTTGCAGCTGCCAATTGTAAATTATACAGCGCTCTCCCTCCCAAAAAAAAGAAACCCAAAAAAACAAAAGCAAATCAAAAAAACACATTTTAGTTATTGTTTAGTCTAATTTGTACGCATCTTTTGATTATTCTCAAAGAAAACGCCAATCAACACAAAAATCAAAATTAACTTTAAGTTATTAACAAAAAGAAAGAGTATAAAAAAATAATAATAAATTCTTTATACGTAATGTCAATTGTTTTGTTTGCCATAAATTATAAATTTAATTATTTTATTTAAACTAGCCAGTACGTTTTATTGCATGAATCTCGTTTTATTGAAAGCATTTATTATCATATATGTCAACATGATTCTTACCATTAGTCATTTTTTTAGTCTGCTATTTAAATTGTATTTAATGCAGCCCCGCCAAATGTTGCCGCGTGCTGTGAGGGGCATGTTGCGAAAATAAAATTGATAAAAGTCAGCGAAAAATATTTTATGTTCTTTTTATTTTACTTTTAAGTTTCAGTTCGGTTCTTTGGAAATTATATCAAATTAATGACATTTCTTTCACATTTGTTTAACGTTATCCGTTTCAAAATATTTTGGTTCTGACATATTTTTGATATTTTTATTTTGAGTTGCAAAATCTGCAAATTTCACCGAAAATATTCCTTTGCATGTTTTTTTTTTTTTTCATAAATTATTTACACGTTTGTTTGCCTGCATTATCCACCCACTTCCATTTCCACTTCCAACGATATTATATATATAACATATAGCTCAAAAATAAATATATATAGTCTAAAACTAGATTGTTAAGTCGTGAACCAAGTAAACAGGAAGAACTACTATAACCGAATACCTCCAATACCTCTATGTAAAAAACGATTTGTTGTGATTGTCATTAAGCAACTCACACACAAAGCTGCACACACTCACACTCACACACACACATATGCAGAGTTCATAAATAGCATACACACATATATAGCGAATATATAGCGATATATATATATATACTTACAATAACTACAATTTGGGCAATCGTACAATTCAACTGAATTTATATACAAAAACAAAAAGCAAAGTGGAGCTATGTAAACCGATAAACAATATCGAAAGTTATATATATATAGCAATTTTTATGCATATTTTTTATGACCTAAGCATAACGAACGATTTTCCAAGCATTTAGTATACATATTAGCCTAGACCTAAGTGTACATATACTAATAGCCTAAGCTGTACATATTTACTCAAAGAACAACTTACACTACAGCATAATTTTAGTGCAATCTTTGGTTTCGATTTAATTTAAATATCAAAAAAAAAAAAAACCAAATGCAACAAAATATTGTGTAATTTTCTTTGTTCATTCAAGTGTATGGTATACAAGTTCCTCAAGATTAAATAATTACAAAATAAAAATACCGAAATAGTTGAACGCATCTCGAGGCCCGCAAGCTTCGGCCTTTGAGAAACTGCGCATTGTACACACACATACTCACACATGTTTCATATGAATTATGTATATGTAAATTTAAATATATTACGAAGAATATCTTAATCTAAGTGTATAAATATCGTCTAAATTATAAATCTATATGCACGTAAAGTCAATTTAACTGTAAATACTAATGTGTACTCTATATTATTACGCTCAATATATAATGTGCAATATATAGTCCAAAAGTTCTGCACTTCAAAACTAAACTTTAAAAAGAAAATGAACAAAAAAAGAAACTAGAAAAATTCACAACTAATAATTCATAATTATTATATGACTTATATAAACATTATTATTATTATTATATATGTAATTATAATCTAACTAAGGCATGCGCAGCTTTGCATATTTGATTTACTAGTTTATTGTTGTTGTCTTTTCAAGCATTTTAAATATTATATAAATATTATATAACAAAAAAAATCAAAGCAACAAAAAAATGATTCATTAATTTTAAATGCAAAACCAAAAATGAAAACCTCAATGTACGAGTATTTATTATGTTTATGGCGAATTGTGTGAATACAAAAGCGAAATATATATTACAATATTGTGTTAAAGCCGCGACGTTTTTAATCAATATATGTAGGCACCCAGCCCGCCCACCTATCCCACCGAAATTAGCCCCACCCCCGCATCCCCCACCGCCCATCCAGAACCAAGCGACAACGGGCAACATTATATAAATTTTTAATTTATGCAAACGAAGCCCTTTCGCATTATTTTACATTTGCCACGAGACGCCCCACTTATGCTGTCGCCGCAATGGCACATGCCACACTTCCCCAGCCCACTCACCCCTTGGGCTCAGCGCCAACCCCAAACTTCGCCGTTTTGAATTTTGCGCCGCGCGGCAGCTGAGCGAAAAACGTGTAAAAAAAAAAATATATATATATATAAAAATAAAAAACCGCGCCGCGTGCGCAGCCAGAAAATGTCACAGTGTTTTCCCATTTAATCTTCAGCGAGCAAACAACAACAACAGCGACAGTCCACCCCCACCAAGGCCCCATCCAGCCCCATCCTTTCAGCCAGCAGCGCGACGCCTCCTTTCTTTGTGCCCCTTTCAACGGCAGGCAGCAGCAGCAGCCGAAAAAGGCTTCGTTCTATGTACAAAATGGCAGCATGTATTACATAAAAAGACGACTTACATAGCACGAGGCGTTCTCGTCCTGCTCCTGCTCCAGCTCGAGCCCCTGCTCCTGCTGCTCCCACTCCTCTGTATTGGGGGTAGTCCTGCGCTGCTTATTAGCATTTCAGCCTTTCTTCGCTGAGCGGTAGCGTTGCCTTTCGAGTAAATGATTTAGACTTGGGTAGCCAGCATTTTTTGCCAAATGAGTTTACGAGTGTTTGGCTGTCAGGATTTGAATACCCTCTAAAAGTATCTGCAAAAGGGTATATTAACTATTCATAATAAATCTAAATATCTTAAATTAATTGGTTAAGAATTCTAAATAAATATTGCTTTGTCTTGTTGTTGTCCTTACAAAACTCTATTTATAGGGTATATCGCATTCGTTTACACTTAAGCACAAATCTCGGCTTACTTAAAATTACCTCGTATATTGAAATTTTGGAGTTAAGATATCTAAAAGAGATTTAAAGTGCATAAAACGCTAGCAAGGTGTCCAAGTCAAAGATTTATATACCCTGTAAAAAGTGTCATAAAGATATGTGAGATTAATTAAACAAAAACCTAACAATTTTAGAATTAAGACACATACATATATAGGAGTATATATATGTATATATAGATTTTTTGCATTTTTCAGCGTGGATATTATTAAGTAATTGCAAAGGCACTCAAAGGGTATCTACTAGTCGCGTCCACTTAGTTGATGTTGCAGCCCCACAAGAGAGAATGTGAAAAGGCAGTTGAAATAAATTTTAAAGGCTTCTTCTTCTTTTTCATTTTTACAACCAACCGCCGAGCGCTGCTCATTATTCAAATTGAAAAATTATGATTTGCGCCCAGGACTTGAAGTCCGAAGTTCGCGTCCAGCGAAGCAAGCGATTCTAATAAGCTGCCTCAAGTGCAATAGACTCTAGAGTGGAACGGGCGATGGACAGTGGGGTGGTGGGGTGGTGGGTGAAGGCAGGAAAGGGAAATGGGCATGGTCATGGCAGTAGGGCAGCTGATGCCGCATTGGCTGCCGCTTTCATTATCCTGCGGCCATTCGCCTCAATTAAATGGGTAAAATTATGAGCCTTATTAATATGGCTAGAGTCGTCCTTTTACAGCGGGCTTCGCTCCAGTAAGGTTGGGTCTGTGTCGTAGTAGAATTTTGGGTAGATTTACTTAGCTTAGTTGGTATTGAGTAATTGCAGTTGGTGGCGTTTTCAGAAGCTCGGCAAAAATGAAAAAAATTGGGAAATTATGTTCAAAGTAAACTTAAATAAAGTTTTATTTTTAATTGAAATATTATATATATTAAGTATTATTTGTATTTTAAAGCTACAAACAACCAGCAAAGCTCTAGCTTTGCCTTCATAAAACCATGAAAATATTAAGATATATATAATTCATGTTCAACAAGGGCTTCTAATATAATATATTTTTATTTAGTTTGCTTTTAAGTTAATGTCTGTGCTCTTGTTTAAATTTCAATACTTTTTTTTTAAAATATCAATAATATGATGCTTGCGTATGCATTAATATATGTTTATCTTTTAGTTTTTTTTCTCACATTTATTTAATTTTTTATTTAACTCTTAAACCTAAATGAATAAATACTAATACAACTTCTAATACTGTTTATTCTAATCTAATAAAAATATTGGTTATAGAAACCGATCTGAGAGATCGATTGTATGAGACCTCCCCAATCTTCTTCGCATTTGGACTACTCCCATTCTATGTCTCTTTAAAAGACGCCTAGCCAATGGCTTTCAGCATCAATCCACTGAGCAACTATTGCAACAGAATCTATTACAATATTTCTATTCAATATCGAAAATAAATTCCACACAAATTCTCATACCTATTAACAATCCTTACGCTCGTCTTCGCATAACCTTTTAATAGAGTTAAAGCATTGTGAAATATGTTACAAAAATAGTGAAGCGCTGAGGGGCGTATAGGGCATC